TTCTTCTTCCAGTCCTTATTATCCTTACGTGGTTCGATGGCCACCGGACCTTTGTCATCATGGGATTTTATACTGATCTCCATGTCATAGGCACACGTAGCCAATTCTTCGAATGTGCGACGTTTTATGCCTTGGAGAATGTAAAGAAGGTCCCAATGCATTCCCTGCATACACATCTCTACAGCAGAGATTTCAGATAATTGGTCCTTGCAGTCAAGACTGAGTGCTCGCCACCGATTAATGTAGTCAATTACAGGCTCGTCTTTCCATTGCTTCGTGTTAGTCAATTCTATCATACTAAGAGTACGACGAGTGCTATAGAACCTGGTCAAGAATTCTCGTTCCATTTGGTCCAACTATCAATTGATTCTGACTTTAGGTCGGTGTACCACTTGAACGCGTTTCCTTTAAGGTAGCGGATAAACTGTTTAACTAGTAAATCCCCATCAGTTCTGGCACTATTATAAGTCTCGACAAAATGGGCAATATGTTGCTTGGGGTTAACTTTTCGGTCAAATTGCTAAATCTTTGAAGGTTAGTATCCTACATGCATCCTCATACTGTCAATTCTCTTCGTATAGGGCTTTGAGTACATGAGAGTGCTCTGTGAAACGCCTCTGTATCGGGCTCGGATTGTATTCATTATCATATCTTGCAATTGTTCGATAGATAATGAAGAGACTGAAGAAGCATGATTGGTTTGACTAGCCGCCTGTTCTGTCACGGGCGTCTGTCTATGGTCTTCCATGTGAGCACCTTGTGCCATAGAGTTAGGATTCCCAGATGGCACTGCTATGGAAGATGTAGGTTTCCCAGACAGTGGTGGTGTGGAAGTTGCAAGATTCCCAAATGGCACTACTGTGGAAGATATAGGATTCCCATACGGCACTGGTGATTCACCGAAGGTCTGAACTTCCAATTTGTTCATCAGTGTAGTGATGTGCAAATCCTTTTCTTCAACAGTCTTTGTGAGGTTCTCAATTGAACGAGCCATAGTTGCTAGTTGTTCCTCCACCGTGGCAGCTCCTGTCATCATAGCAGCGACCATATCTGAGTATAATAGGCCTTGAGAGTCAACGTTCCTTGAACTGATTGATTGCTCCGAAGTCTAACATGGTGACTTTGGGTGTGAACCGACACTAGAGTGGGCATCATAAATGGAATGAGGTGAATCTGGTGGCAGAATCTCCTCTGGAACAACGTCAGGGTTCTTGACATGTTGAGTTTTTACGTTCGCCGGTTTTGCAAGATTGGTTTTCACTAAGTCTTGCTGATGTTTGGATGACGCGATTGCCTAGGACTTGCTACGTGTCACAGGGCCTGCCAAGGTACTTCCATCACTTGATTTGGCCTTCGTGCCACTTTTCATGGTGGCTTTGGCATTGACCTTTGCAGTAGCGATGTTCTTTTGGGCTTTCTTGTCTGTCTGAGTCTTAGGGGGAGCCATAGAATCTAACAGAGAAGAAACTTGATGGTAGGAAAAAGAGATGAGAGGCAAAGGATGTCCCACCGGGCGTGTTAGAAATTTATACACACAAATTTTGTAGTCTGCAAATAAAAACAAAATATAGAGCAAAAATAATATTTTATTAAATTGGAAAAATTGGAGTACAATCCTCTGCAATATTCTTTACAAAGAATAAGGTCATCTGATTCGATCTCCTTTTTGGTTGGTTGGATCCAAGGGCTGCACGAGCTTACTCTTGAATCACTATGGAATTTGAATGAAGAACGGCACGATTTGATGTGCTTGTTGTTGATCATTGTGGAATTTGGATGAAGAACGGCACGACTTTGAATGTGTTTGTTGTTGATCACCATGAAATTTGATGAGGAACGACACGATTTGATATGCTTAGTGTTCTTCGCTTTTGGGTTTGGATGTTAGGGATGAATATTGGCAGAATTTCTGTATTTCTCTCTGGAATTCTGGATTTTTGAATCCTGAATTTGTGTCCCTTCTGGATTTCTGAGTCTCTGGATTTTTGGACCCTCTAGATTTCTAAGCCTCTGAATTTCTGAATCTTCTGGATTTCTTAATTTTGAATTTGTGTATACCCTCTGGATTTCTGAATTCTAAATTTTGTGTACCCTCTAGATTTCTGGCCCTCTGGATTTCTGGGTCTCTTAATTTCTGGACCTCTTTGGGTTTATGAGTCTCTCAATTTCTGAACCCCTTCCTCCTTCCTCTAGGCCTCTATTTATTGGCTTTTTTTATTAACAGGATGATGACACGTGTACTCTCCTGATAAGGATAAAATCATAAATGGGTCGGGCCGGTTCTATTATGATAATTATCCTTAAAAAATAATTATTCCAAATATATTTTATAAGGAATAATTATCTTTTCATTTAATCATCTAAACTGAGCTAATTTAAGTGCACCAAGTTTGGATCCAAATTCGATATGTATATTTCAATTCATTTGATAAGAAGAAATTTATGTGGTGCAACTAAATTAATTTTTTGGCAAGTGTGAAAAACTTTCCTAAATTATACAACTGTTGCATAATGCTCCTTTAAACTATTTTTGAGAGTAAGTTGTCCCACTCAACTATTAAAAGCAAGCAAAGTGTCTCCTTTAAGGCCATTGGAAACAACTTTCCGACCGGCAAAGTGATACAATTACTAATTTACCTTTAGTTATTAATTTATTATAAAAAATATAAAATTCATGAATGTGAAATATCAATTATGTCCTCATATTTTTATTTTATTTTTTTCTTGTTCAGTCTTCTGCACCGCAGAAATTTATGTGGTGTAACTAAATTATATATATCTATTTTTTTGTAATACTACATATGTATTATAAAAATAATTTTACTATGAGTATCATTTTTGTCTTGGGAAAAAGTAGTATGTAAATGGAAGTGACATTTCAAAAAATTGTTAATGGAAAATGTATTAGATGATGTTAATGAGCAAGCATGGAATGATGATTTAGTTAGACAGTGCCTTGTTGAGAAAGGTTGGAACATGAATGATTCTGAAGTTTTCTTTCAGTGTACGATTAAGTCAGCTTATCAAATAGCTTTGATCTTAAAATTTTATCTTAAGAAAGAGGCTGATAGTAGCAATTATTATAGGAAGAAGTCAATGTAAAATACACAATATATATATATATATATATATATATATATATAAATCCCAAAATTTGAATTTTCTAAAGTGAAACAATAAAAATAAAATAAAATGAAACGAAACAATAGATGAAAGAAAATTAGTTTTCTAATTAAGAATGATTTTTCTTTAGTCTTCTCTTTTTACCTGTTAACTTACCAAGGAGTTACAAAAATGTACTTGGACATACCAAGGCCCATGCATAACCAGCCATCAAACCCAACCAGGCTACATGAATAATTTTTTTTTTTTTTTTTTTTTTTTTTCAACATGAAAAAAGATTAAATATAACAAAACAAATTAAACCGAACCAAACCAAGTCAAACAAAAAAGTGATAAACCAAACAGCCCACGAAAAAGCCCAATTGAACAATCAACTTAGGTTGTTAAAAGTTGAAATTATTATGACATGATTGAAACTCTGACTAAAGAATTCGAATTTCGAATAAAGGAAGAAGGTTGCATTAAGTAACTTGACAGTCATCACAAAATTTTGTCATAATTAATACGAATATGAATTCGGTAAACATGAGTAAATGCTAACGTGTTCCCCTTAATCCATGCGTTGCATTAGCCTCGGGATGGTTCAAGAAAATGGGCAAGGGGCCGTGTGTGTGTTAAATAATTGACGTTTTTCTAGACGGGAGCCGATCAAGCAGCTAAGCCACAATAATAGGCTTAGAATAGGAACTGATAGAATATTTTTATTTTATGTCTAAAATAAGTGGATAGGTGCAAAAGCCAGAGAAATTAAAGAATATAAAGTATATTATGTTGAAAAATGGAGCGAGGATATGATTCGAAAAGAAAGATATAATAATATTAGTAAAACTTGTTTTAGGATAAATAAAGTTAATATAGTTAGGGCAGCATATAGACGAATTGATGCAAGGGTAAGGGCGGATTTAGACATAGGTTTTGTTTTGGTGGGTTCAAGCCCATTAAAAAAATAAAAAAAAAAATTATTACTATAACCAATTTTAGTCCAGTCAAAAAAAAATTACTAGTATTAATTCACCCTGTTGACAATTTTTGAATCTGTCCTTATGCAAGGGATACTCAAAGGAGAAAAAAAAATGTATATAGGAAGAGACTTTAATGGTATTGTAAGAAAATAGTGAGGCTTTCATAGGGGGGGCCTTAACTGCCTCCGTTTCTGCCCGAGCTTGAGTCTGCTCGGGCTCGTCTCGCTTGCTTATTTCGTGTGCTTTAGCTTGAAAAGTCCTAAAAACGAAACAAAATGTCATAAACTTCGGCAAAAACAAAAAATAGTGAAACCTTTGATAAATATAAAAAGTAATGGAGAGGTTAAGAAAGTAGTAACTGAAGCAAAACATAGGGCATGTGATGATTTCTACTTGTAAAATTAATTATTCCATTTTGTGTTTCAACATTGTAGGTTGAAGTCAATATCTTGAACTTCAAACTTTTTATTTTTATTTTTTTTATTTTATAATTCCAATTTTAATTACAATTAAAACGTGCCAATTTGTTGCTTCCAAATATAGCACAACATTAGTCTCAGTTTAAGAACATCTTACCATTCAAATGAAATGTTTTGGTACCCAACATTAGTCTCAATTTAAGAACTCCTTACTATTCAAAAGAAATGTTTTAGTTACCCATAACCATAAGCAAGCATTTAGTGAATTGTGCCGTGGGGTTAATATTATATGACATGAAAAGATCCACAATTACCCTACGTATACAAAAAATAAATAAAAGTGAGAAATCAAACATGAAAAAAATAATAAAAAAAAAAATTAATAGAAGAGATTTTTCATGTAAATGGATCTTACGAGTATGGGTGTGGCCAAATTATGTAATATGCAAATCCAAGTTACTCTTTTACCTGTTATATAAAGTAGTCGTCTTATTCTCTTATCATTATATTTATAGAGAGTAGATTCCTAACGTTCAAACATACTGTGAGATACTGAAAACTAACATTCAAACAAATGAGAGAAGTAAAGGTAAAGAAAAAAGTCACCAGGACTGGAGGATTCACCAGCCAGTCAACCACAGTTTTAAAACCATTTCCTTCTCTCTTCTTCTTCATTTCATTCTAATTTCATCAAATTCCAACTCTCTCATTGATTCTGCAAAATCCTTTTCAGAAATCGAAACATGCAAGACATTAACATTCAAAATCCTTTTCGTGCACCAGGTATGTTTCTCCTGAATTCTCTTTGTACCATATACTTTTTCATATACTCATATCAATCCGATATTGTTTCGCTGCTCGAGTGTAGGTTTCACATATACATATAAAATTTATCTAAATATATACCATCACCTTCAGATCTCAAAAGAGAATATATATATATATTCCAGAGAATTATCCTACAAAGAATTGAGGGTCCTCTTCAGTGTCTACAGAAAAATCATTACCAAAATAGCAGACAATTCTGAAGACCAGAATTTCTAGCTCACACTCTGAAGGGCAAAATAAAAAATCCAACAAATTGCATAAATAAACCACAAATTATACCCTATTAAATATATATATTCATACCAATGATTGTGGAGAATCAATTGTTTTTCTATTATAATGTGGGGAGCTATGTACCGCAGTTTGATGGTGGCACAAATTACCACATTACAAGAGAAATTAGTTAAAAGAATTGTGTCTTACCACACTCCTTTCATTCAGTAGAATAATGTCTCTCATGTTTCTGTGACAAGACTTACACCAAAAGAAAGCACCAGTATATTAAGATCCAAGACATACGAATAAAGTTCCATTACATACACTAAGCAACATATTTCACAACGCCTGAAAGACCCTTTTTTCCTAACAAATCTACGATCTATTAGTGAGAACAAACTTACATTTCTCAGTCCCTGAGATTATCGCATGACTCCATACTTCTTCCCTTCCATTCTCTTTAGGGGTAGTAGACAAGAAGCATCACAAAAGCAAAATCATCCACTCTCAGAGGTTTCCTCTCCATTGGATAACATCTCCAATCATGTCAGCGAATAGGATGATACTGTGTAACCCCACGCTTCGGAGGCAACTTCCTCAGAATGAATAGGACGAGAGATGAAGGTAGTATCTCCACCAACTGGCAAAAAGGGTGAAAAAGCAAATGCAAACTAAAATAGTCATCCTCAGAAACCTATAACACAAGTAAAAAACTATATAAAAGCAAGGTAACAATCCAAGGTGCAGACAAAGAACCAGAGATGAACATCCTAGTAGCATTTCCCTCACCAGCAACAACATTAAAATCAGACCTCTTCGGTTCATTGAGACTCAAACTACAAAGTTGAATTAAAAAATAGCCATAAAATAGAACATGAAATCACAACGTTACATTGGTAACCATCAAATTTCCTTTTGACATGCCATCAACCAAATTAAAAAGAATGGAATAACATGGTCCATTCTTCAAATGTTGAAGTATGCTTGAGAGCATGGGATATCATTTCCAGCACAAGACATTTCTACCACAAATGTGGCTTACAAATCTGCCATCAACTTTTATATTTTCATTTTACGACTTATGATAAAAAAATAAAAAATAAATACCGTAAAGTGCCACAAAATTGACCGCATGATATACAATCAATTAACCTAACAATCCCATTTAATATGTTTGAATTATAAAAAAACATAAAATCAATGAACGGTTGCCATTGATGAGAAATTATTCAATGCATGGCGATCAAGCACTCAACAAAACAAACGTCATACTCACCAAAAACACTAGCTAGGAGGCAAAATATATCTACAAATTGTACTTTGGAAAAACAGCCACCTAAACATGATGGCACATGTAAGAAATATTCCTCTTCTTAATAAAAGCAAGAAGCTTTAGGATTGGAAATTTGATGCGACAAAAAACCAGTTCACATGTCGGCACCTACGTATTTATTGTTCAGTCAAATATCTGATAGAGTTGGGTCCACAGGGGCATTAAAAGTAGAAGACGCCCCACCAATAATTTCATTTAATTACATGTATAAGCAGTAACATTTTTTGACATACATAAGCATCAATATTGAGTTACAAAGAAAAACTTACCAGGTAATATATGAAGTTTAGAACCGGATGATCCAACACATCAAGGTTTGCAGCTTTATCAAATGCATTAAGGCACATCTGTAGCAAACAACATATAATTGAGGTAAAAGTTAGCTATACTAAACAACTAGACATCATTTGGCAGCAAAGCCTAAATCCCATGAATCATAAACAGGATGTGTATTTCATATCTATGCTATGCCTGCGTACTCACGCAGGTATAACATAGATAGCATAATTCTTCAACATACTTGCAATTCCATCATCTAACTAGCCATCATTTTCACCAGTATATTTCGCATATGGAGCATACACAAGATCAGGCCTTCACTAAAGCCAAGTAGTAGAGAATAATTGCAAAAAACTCAGTCCTGGACTCACCATGATGCATCTAACAAGGAAACATGAAAAACATATCGTTGTCACATAGCCAACCTGCACAAGCCAAAACACTGACAATGATTAAGATTACAAAGATTAATACATAACAGACCACAAGCAAAAAAAAAATTACGAAACCATACCTCTTGTAGCTTCTTACGTCTCCCTTTTGATTCTACAGGGAACCGCTGCAACATTAAGAAGAGCCTGCATGAAGATGACAATTGAAAGAGATAAGGACAAAGGAAATCACACAATAAGTTGGCTCATGAAGGAAAAGAAAATGAAAAGGCCCTCAAACACCATTCAGGATCACAAGTTAGGACGGATAACCACAAGAATCAACCTTACCCAGCCACAATGGGTTAAACTGGTCAGGTATGTTTGGTATTTCAACTTTGCACCGTCAGGGTTACATCATCCAATCCCCAAACCAGCCCCTAATCATGGTTCTCTGTTATTATATTTCCTTACTTCTATAGGTTGTCCTCTTTAATTTGTTGGACTATCATTATGATGTAGATCATTAATTTGTTGGACTATCATTATGATGTAGATCATTATGTCCACAACACAGCCAACACTAAGAGATCTTACAAACCCTAACTAAGTATTTTCCATCATTTGTTGAAGGCAACACTTAGGATCTAACATATGATTTATGATTATCCATTGCCCCAAATGGTAGAAACACTTCTTCCTCATCCTAATCTCTGAGTTCATCTGTCTATTTTTATTGCCACTTCCTCCACCATACAATTAATTATGTCCTTTGTTTTTTTTCTCTTTTGACTCCTTACATTGGAGTGAGAAATGGAGTTTGAACCAATAATGAACTGAAAAGCACAATGCTATTTTTGTTCTCTCACCAATCACCATAAACAGCCACCTTGCCCTCTTGTGCTATGTATATTCTTTTAAGCTAATCATGCTCTGTTCTTTTTTCTGAACCCAAGAACCAAATCCACCCTTGCGTAATCTGAAAAGGCTGTTTCAGTAGAACACGTATGTTCTAGTTTTTTGCTCAACCCAATCCTTTTATGGGTATATTTTGTTCAGTTGTAGTCAAATGACTCAAATTGTGGTTCAGGGTCATCTTTTCCAGAATCATACTTGGTTGGTCCACTCTAGGTTAAGAGTAACCTAAACCGAATTGCGCCCTAAAGTTATTTGCTTTATTGGAACCAAGATTAGAATCTCAATAAATCCAATTGGACGTAAGGAGAATTATCTAATGGCACCAAGTGATCAATCTCAGCTAATTGGACACATTAAAGTTTCTTTGAGAAAGTGAAGTCGTGTAAAACCCACATGAAGCACCGCAAAAAACAAAGAGACACAAGCTCCATATTGAAGTTTTAAGCGCAACCTCAAGCCACAAAAAATAGGCAAAACTACTAAGTGAATAGCGTAAATAAGAGAGATGATGACTCATCATCGGACAATGGCAGACATTACACCTTGGCTAGTTGATTTTTTGGGTGGATAAACAACAGGTTACAGGAAACTGCACTGGGGAAAGAGAGACAGAGGATCCACCGATCCAATACTTCCCAATCATTTACAAAATAAAAAAGCTTGAATTAGATACGAGAGAAGCAAGTTGTTGAGAGTTGGTTGTGGATCTTTGGTCAAGTGACTCTGTTTTGAAGACTTACAGCCAGCCCGAAGAATGTCAGAAACAGCAAGCTGCAAAAAAAGACTGGCCTGGAAGCTCTAACAAAAACTGGGAAGATGTCACAGCTCCACCAACCAAAAAAGGTAAAGCCCAATCTGGTCAGAGAACTGCAACAGAAGTCGGCGTTCCACCTTATTACATTTTCAATATGAAAAGAAAAAAATGAAAAATGAAAAAGGTCATCTTATTCAAAAACCCCCAATTATGACATCCCTTCTCCCCCACTTCACACCTTGGAATGCACCGTTCTTACAGAAAGAGAAGTGCTTTCACATCTTAACTCGAAATGGCTGGGGAGAGGAATGGTTTCTTGTTTTAAGGGTACTCCAAAAAAATAGGGCCCAAAAGTAGGCGTTGTTGAAGGGTTACACTTTCAAGTTTTCAATTTTCCCTTTTTTTTCCCTCCTGGGGTGGGGGAAGAATATTCAATCTTCCTGATAGAAAAACAAAGAATATTTACGGCTATCCCCCAAAAAACTCTTGGCCAGCTATACGCTAATCTATTGAAACTCCACTTACAAAGTAATGCACAGGAATCATGAGAAAAATGTGACCGTTGTCACAAATTGGGTCGGACACTGTATGGCATTCAGCATCCGTCACCATTGTGGCCTAACAAAGGTACCACAGTACAAGCTAAGTGGTAATGGAGTATTCATCCTGAGTGAATCACTTGAGGGGTTACAGTGCAACACCCAAGTAAACTTCTCACCTGCTAACTCGATGGACCTTGTGTGTAGTAAATACACAGTTAATCACAAACCTATAGGCTTCTGACCAGTGTCTGTGTATGCATGTCTAATAAACAGAAGGAGAGCATTTGCTTCTCGGTGTTGAAGAATTCAGTGAACCATTCAGAAACTTTGGATGAAGGTAAGTAACTTCTCCTATGTCTTTTCACAAATACAGTCTCTCATGGGTACTGAGTGCCATCCCCATAAAATTGAACGCTTCATCCATGAGTGCACCGTGTTGTTCAAAGTGACAACTAGAAATCCTTTGGTGGATAACAAAAATTGGATATTTACCTTCCTCCATAGAGAAGAAAGCCCAGGGCTGCAAACAAAGATACACCTGCCAATGTATGTGTTAGTGTGTTACTGTGTTAGAAGATCATTTGTTCAAGTTCACTAAATTATACTGCAAACAAACAGTAAAATTTAACTATTTCTGAAAAAAGAAAAACCTGCAAAGAAAATCTTGGACAGGATGATCAAAATTGGGATAGGCTTCCACCATAAAATCAACCACATAACAATCTGTGAGCAATTGGAAACAGAGAGTTTAGCAATTTATGTCGATCATTGTAAGAAAAGATTAGTTCTGTAGATAAAGAAAGACATATATGTATACGATATGTAGTATGCTACTACTTTTTATGATCTGCACTTGCATGAAAGTAGAATCATGAAAATAAACTGCATAGTACATAAAAAATGCATAACTTGTGGGTGATAATGAACACATGATTTGGATTAAAGAAAAACAATTAGTAGACATAATGCCTGAAAATCTGAAACAGGAAAGAAAAAAAATTCGCATCAATTCATGTACCCATTGCCATGTGGTTAGCCTAGAAAGTAGCACTAAGCTGAAGGCTCAGTTTTTTTAAGTTTCACCTACACCTTTGACATAGCATAATATTTTTTATTGTATAGCGAAAAATGAATATGATCTATAATTAGAAATACTAAGAGTATAAATTTTCTTAAGCTACTGGTGCATGAGACCATTCTTCAAAAATGATCGAACGTCAAAAATGATCGAATCATTGAACTTCTCTCAAGTTTTACAGAGAAATTCTTCTCTTCCCAAAGACCCTCAATAGAATGTTCAACCCGCTACCATCATTCTGATTTTATCTCAATTATAAGCTTTTCATTATCCATCCTAATTACTTCTAACTAGTATTGTCATTCAGGGTGTCTAAATCCTAACAACAGAAACCATCGTATTCAAGAAACTACCTACTCTGATTTCCTCAAACTAACCCTACATGAGCTTGGTTTTGACTCAACCTAGTTAATTGACCTATGACAACAAGGCGGCTGCTAACATTGCCTAAATTTAATATAACAAAATTAGTAGGACTTTATGAAGGAGAAAATAAGCAATGGACACGTTAAGAGATTTGGAAAGGTTACATACTGGATAGCCAAGCCTATGATGCTTGGAGAGCCACTCCCCTTTCTTTTGATGGAGACGAAAGTCCTACTTAGTCTCTTAAATATACTAAATTGTAAATCTATGGGGAATCTTTTGGAGCTTGTAGAGATAGCTAGAAAGTATAGCTATTCGTTTTCGTACCCTTTGTTTCTTCGGCGCACTGCCCTCTTGGGAGCTTCTTTAATGAAATGTCTTTATTAAAATGAAAAAAAAGGAAATAGTACCGGATTGATTTGTAAACCCTTCTGAAAAATCAAAGAATAACATGCCTTTAAAATGCATTCAATTGTTAATCACCATCTACTTTAAAAGTTTAAACTATTAAAAAGGACGTCTTAAACACCCCTTAACATGTAATCAGATTTCAGTCCGACACATGTATCAATGCAATCATCAGGTGACAGTGCAATTTGAACTGAAAACCTATTTTAACTACTCTAAAAGCTTAACATGCTAAAGAGGGTGTAACTTAATTATTTGCATTCTCTAACATCACTAAAAGAGCCGCAAGCACAAACTTCCATAGTATTGAGCATACTGTGAATTTGTGATACTCAAAAACAACTTGAGGAGGAATACCACAAAAGGGTCTATTTTAAGTAGTTATACCAACAAAAATTACTTTTTTAGTGACCGTTGTCACATTATCTCCTCCCTCCTCTTCTAAGCCATCAAATTTTTTACTTTTAGTTCCATTCATCAAGTGCTAATGATACTAGAGAAGAATTTTTGTTAAAGAGTGCATCATAGCCGTTTGAAATATAAATAATTAATATGATTCCAATTCAAAAAAAATAGGGAACCGTTAGTTTATCGTTCGGTTCTGGTTCTAGGTCCATTAAGACCGAACTGAACCATTAACTAAATATATATATTAAAATATTAATAAATTAAAACATAATAAGATAAGACACAGTCTACGCGTCTTCGTGCTTCGGGAGACCTTTTTAGTACCCTCATTATGAAAAAATGTATGCATTTAATGTTATATCTAATATAGCCAGTACTTATTAGTAAGGTAAAACCTAAGAGCTTTCATTTAATGTTTATATATTCTAATATTTTTACTCTCATTTTGCATTCAATGTCATATTCTAGTATTAGCAGTAAGGTACTATGTGGCTTAGGGAGACCTTTAACAGTGTCTGATTACATTATTTTTTAGGAGGTTCTTGAAGTTCCAAAACTGTGGTTCATAAGTGAACCAAACCAATCTTTTATGGTTCAGTTACAACGTCAAACAGTTCCTGTTCCGGTTCAAGTTCAATTTTTTTGGAACCCTCGGGATCAGTTCGGTTCCGATTTAGCACGGAACCATACCAAACCAAACCGTGTGAACCCGTAGCTGCAATCCTAAATAGCATTGGAATGGTGCAAACAAATGGTCTATCCCCACACCAAAGGTCCTCCCAAGAATGAATATGCCTTCCACTCCTTACCTTGAACTGATTATTCTTTGAAAATCCATTCCAACCTATCCCAGTGAATTTCCAAACTAAAAACCTTGCTGAAAACCTCACCTCCTTAGATAAGAGAACTAAAAAGATATCAGGTGACAAACTCTTAAGGAATGATAAACTAATTCAATTTACATCTTCTTGATCTATCAACAATTTTTAAACTCCAAGTGATTGCTTAAATATAGCTTCTTCTTTTTTTTTTGTTGATAAGTAAATTGCTTAAATATACTTAACTACGAAGATCATAGTTTTTAATCTTGGTCAAGAATGAGATTAGTCGCCCAATATGCATCTGTCACAGTCAAGCAAAGAACATACTTTGACATTCTACAAGAAAAGAAAAACTTCAATGAGTCATTTGAGATAGCTATCTCACTCAAATGTGATGTAATCGCGAGATTGGTAAATGCCACTAAACCCCTTCAACAGGGAAGATAAGCTCATTTTGACATATATTGCACCACACTAACTAAAAGAGCTTCATAACATTCTTCATTATAATTAACAAAATCAAGTTCAAGTGAGAGAATAATTCACGGATTATGGATATTGATAAGATGCATAATAAGCAGGATGATACAACATATGTATCTTGTTTGTATGTAAATATGCATATACATACAAAAATTATAAAATATATGTATCTACATCTAAATTTGGAACAATAATTACTTGACATATATATATATATATATATATATATATATATATGCATGGCTAATATTCACTTATAACAAAATTTTATGACCAGTGTTATTAAAGGCTCAAGGCGCTAGAGGTCCTTTGGAGCCTAGGCGTGAGGCGCACGGCGAGAGGCACGCCTGAGTGAAGTGAGGCGCACAATTGAAATTTAAAACTACCATAAAAACATTCATATCTCATAAGTCGTATCAATATTCGAAAAATTAATATCAAATATAAAAAAGTAAATCCGTCAACCATATAAGCATTCAAGAACCATAAAACAAATTTATTTTCTTGAAAGGCAAAACAGAATTTTTTTTTTTTGAATGGAAAAACAGAGCACAAAAAGAAATAAATCTATTAACAAAACCAAAAAAAAAAAAAACTAAAACGAGAGGAGGAAAAAAAAAAAAAAATTACATAGAGACAAAAGAAGTAGATGAAGTGAGAGAAGTAGATAAGAAGAGAGAGAAAGTGTGAAGAAAAATGTAGAAAAAACAGAGCCCAAAAAAAAGAAAAAGACAGAGAAAGAAGAGAACCAGATGAAGAGAAAGAAGCAAGCAAAGATGAGAGGAGAGAGAAGTAGGGAAGAAGAGAGAGAAGACAGAACTGACATGGCTTTCATCGTTGCTCTCTGCAAGTAGCGCTTTGTCGTTAGTCTCACAGTCTCACTCTTTCTATGTTTGGTTAACACTTTGACTCTTGGGCTTTCTTATTTGTTTATTCTTTTGAACAAAAGTTCCATCTCTCATAAGCTTAGGCTTTCTTATTAGTTTATTAAGTTTCCAAAAGTACCGTTTTTGGCTTAGAAATAGAATAATTATTTATAAAAATTAAAAATAAAAAAAAAACAATGAGGCGCGCCTAGGCGCAGCTTGACAAATAGGACGAGGCGTAACCGAGGCGCGCGCCTAGCAAACCTTAGTGAACCTGGGATGACAATAGGCGCTAGACCTACGCCTCGAGCCTAGGCACGCCTTTAACAAAACTGCTTATGACAACCTTGTTTTTTCAAGAATCTATCCAATCTTTTGCATTTCTACCTTAAAAATTATAAATAACATAAAATTTGAGAATTATGTTACACAATTTTGAACTTCGTTTGGATTAAATTAAACATTATATTTATTTCTTTAATTTTGATAAGTAAAATATTATTAAAACATACTCAACCAGGGAGCGCAACACAAAAGAAAAACTACACAAGGGCTAAATGGGACCCCTAATCTCTAAGCATATCCACAAACATTACCTAGAGATTTACAATTCCTCCCCAAAATCCAAAGAAAAAAGAAGAACACTATTTATGACAACCTTGTTTTTTAAGGAATCTATCAAATCTTTTGCATTTCTACCTTAAAAATTATAAATAACATAAAATTTGAGAATTATGTTACACAATTTTGAATTTTGTTTGGATTAAATTAAACATTATATTTATTTCTTTATTTTTGATAAGTAAAATATCATTGAAACACACTCAACCGGGGAGCGCAACCCAAAAGAAAAACTACACAAGGGCTAAATGAGACCCCTAATCTCTAAGTATATCCACAAACATTACCTAGAGATTTACAATTCTTCCCCAAAATCCAAAGAAAAAAGAAGATAGATAGCTAATAATAGAGAACTTAAGCACTCCAATAGGAGTCTTCTCACCATCAAGGACCTCCTAGTTCTCTCCCTCCATAAGCCCCACCACAGCTACAGGAGCGTTAACCTCCAAGCATCTCGAGCTTGAATCACCACTATACATCCTCATCAAGCCTTGATGGGCATTGGGGAAAAAGGCATGACACACTGAACAAACTAAAAGCATAGCCCAACAATCTCGAGCCACTGACTAGTACAAAAGGAGATGATTCACGAACTCCTCATCCCTTTCGACACACACAGCAGTACAACACTAGTTCACAATAACCTGCCTCCTCCTTTGTAGGTGGTTAATCATCAAAGTACGCCCCATAACAGCCATTCAGCCAAAGAAAGTCACCTTGAAAGGAGCCTTTTTTTTTTTATCCATAGTCACCATCAAAGGAGCTTTGGTGTGCCACACTTCCTTCCGCGAGAAGGAAATCCCCTTAGCACTCAACTGACTCCCCTGTCAAAAGAGTGCACCTCAAACCTCCCTTGAGAGGAAGTCACCCAAACCCACTCACCAGCCTTCCACAAGCCCCAGAACAGACACAAGGGCGCCGCCCTCCAAGCATCTCGAGCTTGAAGCCCCCACTATATATCCTCGGCACGCCTCAAGCATCGACATCATGGAAAAAGGCATAATCCGCTAAACACCGAACAAATCAAAAGCATAGCTCAACAATCCCAAGCCACTAGACAATGCAAAAAGAGATGATTCACAAACTCCTCATCCCTTTTGCACATGCAACACCAGTTCACAACAATCTACCTCCTCCTGTACAGGTTGTCAATCGTCACAATATACCCCAGAGCTATCGCCCAACCAAAGAAAAACACCTTCAGAGGAGCTTTGGTGCACCACACAACCTTTCCACAGAAAGGAAATCTCTTAGCCCCCTACAGCCTCCTATTAAAATAGCACACCTCAAACCTCCCCCAAGGAAGACACCCAAACCCACTCATCAGCCCCCACTCCATCCACCTTTTGCCGACCAGAAGCTCAGAGATATCCTCCCACTCCCTATCTTGAAAAACCTCACAAAGCGCACATCCCAAGATGGCCTCCTGCTATCAAGCCGATAATAGTCGGCAACTCAAACAGAGCGCTCCTAGGCAAGTGGAACCCGGTGATTGAGCGTTTCGAGAAAAGGTTGGCTGGGTGGAAAAAGCAATATCTTTCGAAGGGAGGAAAAGTTATTTTGGTGAAGAGTACATTGTCTAGTCTTCCAACTTACTTTCTTTCGCTTTTCCAGATCCCCTACTCTATTGTTGGAAGACTTGAGATGCTTCAACAGAACTTCCTATGGGGCGAACAGGGGGAGGAGTTTAAATTTCATCTTATCCGGTGGGAGCAGGTTTGTAGGCCCTTTAAGTTGGGAGGTCTGGGGATTAGGAGATTAGCCCTTTTCAACAGAACGCTTCTAGGCAAGTGGTTATGGAGATTCGGCAGTGAAAGATATAGGTTATGGAGGAAGGATGTTTCATGTCGTTTTGGGAAGGAGAGAGGGGGGTGGTCATCTAGGCCAGTCAAATCTACTGTCGGCGTGGGGGTGTCAAAATCCATTAGGAAGGGTTGGGATGAGTTCTCTAAGCATATTAGATTCAAAGTTCGGGAAGGAAGGGATGTCCGGTTTTGGGAGGATACATGGTGCGAGGATCGCCCATTGTCTTATTTGTTCAGGATTGCTGTTGATAGACATGCTTTGGTTGTTGACTACTATCGACTCGATAATGGTAGGTTGTCTTGGAATGTGCGGTTCCGGCAATCCTTTTAGGATTGGGAGTTGGATGACGTCAATGGCTTGCTGGAACTTTTGTATAGACCCAAGGTGGATGGTACTAGTTCAGATTCTTTGACTTGGGTGCCTTCTTCGCAAGGGACTTTTCAGGTCCGGTCCTTCTTTCTCTGCCTCTCCGAGTTTCACGGTACCAATTTCCCGTGGAAAACAATTTGGCATTCGAAGGCTCCTCTTAGGGTGTCCTTTTTTGTTTGGACTGCAGCTTGGGGTAGGATCTTGACTTTGGACAATTCGAGAAAGAGAAAACAAATCATAGTCAACCGGTGTTGTCTGTGCAATAATGATGGAGAGTCTGTAGATCACCTTCTTTTGCATTGTCTCGTGGCTCATGCCTTCTGGAGTCTTATTTTGGGTCTTTTTGGCGTCCAGTGGACTATGCCCCGGACCTCAAGGGATTTGATTAACATTTGGAGGGACCAAAGGGTTGGGGCTCATGCTCGCAATTATTGGAGGGTGACCCCACTTTGTGTTTGGTGGAGCCTTTGGAAAGAGCAGAATAGAAGATCTTTTGATGGGGAGGAATTCTCCATTGGGGCGTTGAAGTTTTCTATTATTTGTTCTCTTTTTAGTTGGGTTATGGAGAGAAATTGTATATCTTTAGATGAAATCGTGGACCTTTTGGGTTCTTTAGGTCCATAGGACTCCCCCTTTCTCTTTTTTCGGTTTGTACAGCTCTTGGGACACGTTCCCCTTTTGAACGTTTTCTAATAAATTTTTACTTATAAAAATAAAAATAAAAAATGGTCGGCAACCCAAACCTACCTGTCTGTTGCAATCTGAAAGAATCTCAGATAAGAACTCACTAGCAATCTATCCCTCTACACTTCTCATTATATCTCCACTCTTTTCTAAGAAAGTTCAAATATTTAAAACTGTTGTTTACACTTTTCGTAACAATTATATAATGATATTACAATAGAAATGTGATTATTTTTTATTTTTATGGGCTAATGGCTCATTGGTACTAGAAATGTGTAGTTTTCATGTTCAAAATGTGGCATGGATACATTTAGAAAATACTGAACATGTATCCACGAGTACCAAGAAAGTACTGGTATCCAATACAAATATGATACAAATACAATTCACTCATAAATTTAGCCATTGATCATTGAGAAGCACCTGTCCAAAGGTTCTCAAAAAGAGAATGCCAAAGAAGACGAAAAATTTATGATATAGTTTGTCTCTATTTTGCTTAATTGAGAATACACACATATGGGAGTGGATTACATTGGATATTTTCTGTGAGTGGTATCTAATATTGTAGTATAATATCATGATAAAACCCAAGTTCGACTATTGAAACCATGTGCTATCATGTAAGTGTTTATAATCCACTTTATCTACCATGTGGTCAAAAGTGCATTAATAGTGTTTATCCAACCTACAAGGGGTGTTGAGGGGAAGATGGAAGGCACACCTAACATTTGCTATAATTTTTACACAAAGTGAATACTCTTGCCAATCGAAACTTTTACCATTGCACTAAGCAATGTTTCCCTTATCCACAATGAATGGTTTTATAGTGCTTTTATTCTTTTGTGGTGTTAAAGCGTTTTTTATTTTTTTTACTTTTTAAGCCCAGTTTGTAGCATACCTTTGTGTTGCAACCAAAACCACAACAAGACACCAATATAGTCATCTTGGTACCTTTTTTTTTTTTTTTTTGATAAGTAAGAATTTATAAAAAGGCGTTCAAAAGGGGAATGCATCCCTCAAAAATAAAAGGAGGCCAAATAGGGCCTCTAAACCCTCATCAGATCCAAAAACTCTACAAGCTCATCCAAGGATTTACAATTTCTTCCTAGAACCCAACAAAAAATGGTGCTAAGAATAGAGAATTTCAGCGACCCAGTATGATTTTCCTTTCCATCAAATGATCTTGACACCTACTGAGACCTTGCTCAAGAAGACTTTGTGCCATGAATAAAGATAGCAGATGTAATGTTTACACTATCTCACCTAGTTCAGATTTTAATCTCTCATAAAGTGTGGTTGTTACGTTCTTTTTGGTGTCGACATCCACTAAGAATTTCATTGAACAGAGAATTATTCATGTTGCTTCCATTTCATGGTCATTTAAAATATTGAAGACCATGCAAAAGAATGTGGAACAAAAGGGATACGATTTGCTTCCCATGAGAGGATTGGTGACATGGGAAGAAAACATCAAGGTACCACATAATTCCTTTTTTCTTACTTTTTCATTTGTCATGTGAGTATCACCCAATTCAGTCAGTTGAAAGGAACCCATCAATTATTTGATTATTCTTAAAACTACCTCATTTCTTAAGAGAGAGAAAGAGAGAGACAACACATATATTTATAAGGTAGTATAATATGTCCATTTACACCATCTCAATTGCACTATTTACAAGGTAAAACAATTGTCTTCCTTTCACACAGTCATCTCTACACTTTTAACCAAACATAATGAACTTAAATTTACAAATATAAATAAAAATCATCACAGGAAAAAAAACAAAAATTACAAAAGTAAGTAAAAAGAAAAAATTAGTTAAAACAAAGAGAGGTGATGCTATGTTGGAAAAACATGGCTATGCTTTTCACCTAATAGAAATCTAATTTGAGACCTCTCCTTGCTGGTACACAGTAAAAATATGGACAGGAATTTTCACCTGAATGGCATACACCACAGCATTAATTATGAAGAAACTCGGCCTGAGCCCATCAGTAGATATAGCACGTGCCTGTCAAATATTTATTTCAGAAACAAAATCAGATAAACGATCATAAACTAATACAAATAGCAAGTAAAGCCACAACCAAATCTGACCTGATAGTATATCTCTGCCCAGAACAGAACCAAGAGGGCGTAAGTTGTGAAGAATGCAAGACTAGGCATATCGAGCAACACATGTTGGAGAATCTGACAAATATAGCATGTAAAGCTATAAGTTACAATAAAATATAGCATGTAAAGTTATAAGCAGATAGACACGAAAAAAGAAAAAAAAAATGGTCCTAACCTTTGGTTGCAATTTCTGAACATCTCGACGGAATACGAAAACAAAAGCTCGAACTGCCAATAAGAACCAACTCAATACTGAGCACAAAGGTAGAAACTAAAGAAAATAATAGTGATGATGTCACAATAATTGATGAAGGAATAAGAAGACGCAAACCTCCATTCACCAAGAAATTTAAAAAATGGAAGACCTTCTGAGTGGTCCAACCATACTCAGGCACTCTCAATTGTATTCGAACCAATTGTACCTAAAGTAATCAAATTCCAGATAATTAATAGCTATTTATGATGTCAGAAGATTCATCAATATTTTATAGCCTATACTTGGTTGCCAAGCAAATGTAGGAAATTTGAGATTTCAATTTCTCGATATCCAAGATAATTTGATTGAGCATAATACATGATTTGCTTCACTAAGTTTGAGGCTTTCATTCTTAAGAAACAAAAATAGCACAAAAGATAAGACACAAAACTTATGTATTCTTCATTGTCTCAGCCCCCAAACAGATTCTACTATCATCTTCACTCAACTCGAAATCAAAATCAGTTTGATTCTTCAAGCCTTGTTGCTAAAACCTCTATTTTGTTGCACAGAAAATGCAGACAAAATCACAATTAAATTATCTATTTTATTAGTCATTATGGAGTATATTTTTCGAAACAAACTAAAAAAAAAAGAGACAAGATACTCAAATACATATACATATAGAAATACATACATACATACATACATACATATACATATGTATGTATGTATGTATGTATCTGTGTGTGCATGTGTGTTTGATTGGTTGGTCAGCTTTTCTTTCCTTCATTTCCTCATAAACAAATCAAAACATTGTGCCTGGAATAACACAAAATTTTATGGAATTTAAATTTTAAATGAGATTTCTCTTGTTTGGAATTGACAGAATTCAAGGAAAAATATATATTGTTTTTTAATTCAATGAAAGATTGCTGGATTTTATTGGATTCCGAAATTACTCAACTGATCTTAGAGCTTGACCAACTCCCCCCTTCTTCTAGTCTCCTCAATCCTAACGTCTTTGTCCTTGTTCACGTCTACCATTAACCTTGATATCACTCTTCTCACTTGTAAGGCAACAGAAATATATTATCATCATTTCAAAAGCCACTAATTGGTTGGTGCAATACTAGAACTTAAGCTGACAAAATATAAGTTAACTTCTTATACTTTGAGTGTTCCAATGATAAAAACGGAATATGGGTTTCTATTTTGGTTAAGAAAGCATAATGGTCAAATATTGCTCAAGGTTTGTTAATGATCTAATATGGGTGTCTCTCAATTTGTCCTTCAAGTGAATAAGGTCAATATAACTGTTGTTATTAATTAACTTTCATGATCCCTTGAACATTAAATAATACATTTATCATAAAGTCAAGCCCTAACTAACTCTGCCACCTAAAAGGGTGATCACCCTCCCCCAATGAAGTGGATAGAACTTCCTCCGGAACCTAGGAATGTCAGGTGTGAGGTGATTTTATGGGTTAGGTACTCTTTCCGCAATTTGATACCCAAGAAATCACTTGTTAAGAAACAGTGAACATACACAAAATCTCATCATCACTATTACATATTTTCTAAATTATTGCAAAAGATGGGGTTTCGTTTAGTAAATTAGGTTATTTTCTTTCCAATTCCTATTTACATCCAAATAAAAGATTCGAGTTTGTTCCAAGCGGAAAACAAGATTTCGTTTATATCATTCTCTTCCATTTGTTTTTCTTTTGAAAAAAGAAAGTCCAAATTAAAATTTTGATTCGATACACAGGGCAAACAAGGAAACCCCAATCATTCAATTAATAACCTAGAAAACCCTAACCCAAAATCCACACCAAAATTTCAAAAATACATATTATGCGAACAATAGACTTCTCGAGAAATTCGAATTTTTCTAGGGAAAACTGAATTACCAGAGCAACGACGGCGACTATGCCATAGAGTCCAGCGAGGACGTGAAATATCCGATCCTGCCAAACAGGTGAATCATTAAGTTCATGCCACCAATCGGAGGCGTCCTTGAGCCTGTACGCTATGACTGCCGACGACGGCGCTACCACGGTCCGCTCCATCGCCGGAGATCGAAATTCGCGGCGCCTGCAAATATTCTCGAGAAAATCGCTGAGAAATTTCCTTTTTTATTTTTTATTCCCAAAATTGGAAACCCAAAACGGCCGGCAACAAGAAGAGATGGATAGAACAGAAAATACTACGGTGGGATTGATTTCTTTCGTTCTTTCGTTCTTTTCTTTCTGAGCTTATGGGCGCGTCTGGAAGGGACCGGCAATAGGCTGTTTGATTTTATAAATTCAAGTCTACGCGTTTCTAGGGAGATTGTGTTTCACGCGCTATCCTAGCAATCCCACGTGTTCTAATCTCACGTGATATACATAGTAGTGTCCTTTTGGCTAAATCATATACTGAATAGCCCAAATTTCTGAAAATCCCCGGTACTTTTAAGAAATGATGATAAAAATTTAATTAGTTTTAAAACCCCCCAACAATATAATAAAGTTATCATTTTACTCCAACACTGTCAATTAATGGTTAAGGGTATGTAAAATAACTAAATTACCCTTATTATATTCCTTTTTATTTAAAAAATCAAAAAAATCATATTTTTAAAATTACAATATTATCCTTTAGTACAAAACAACCGCATTTAGTGCAACATAGTTAGACATCAAGACCCCGTCGGTTTTTATTATTATTATTATTATTATTATTATTATTTGTTGGAGTTTCATCTCTCTATTAGCACCCTTTTGATTCCTAAATCCTATAACAGAAAAAAAAAAAAAAATGATTTATGTGCACTGTATTTTCTCCTATCTCTGTTCTCCCCGCCGGCTATAGATTTGCTCTCTCTTGTTGAGATTCAGGATCTGTTGCTTCTGATAATATGTTGTAACAAAAAATATATATATAAAATAAATAATAAAATCTGTTATCGTTCTTACTGTCACCGGTCCTTTATCTCTCTGCTCCGCTTCCATTGACGTTGTTGCCGTCACCGTCGGGTCAATCCCTGGTCACCGGCCTTGGTGCGTCTTCACCACCGCTCCTTGAAGACTGCCGTTTTTGTTATCATCTCGCTGTCGAACTCGCTAGAATCTGCCATAATTGCCAGTGACCTATCCTCTCTGTCGAATCTCAGTTCAATCCTGCCGCCGAACCACTCACGCACCATCACTGGCGACCTGTTCCTCCCTGAGGAGGCCCAGGACGACATGGGCCGGATCTGACTTGCAAGCACGACATCCGGTCCGTACAGCTGGGTCGGCCCATAAAAAGACACTGTCATATGGGCCGAACGCGAATAAGCCCATCAAAGGTGACCAGGACTTATGGAGGAACAGGCCCAGATCCAGCAATCCGTCAATATTTGTAAATATCTTGTAAATATCTATAAATAAGGGAAGGAATGAAAAGAAAGTGGGGGGATCTTTTTGTTGAAATGTAAGAATTCTAGAGAGAGAAAGAGAGTATGAATTTCTTGCATCTTCAATTGGCGCCGTCTGTGGGAATCGCATGGAAGTTTGGTTGATCAATGAGGAATATCGAGTGGATTCAGACCAATTCGGTTGATCGAGACTCGATCTTTGGGATTTGGATCCAGATATGAGCGATTGTGACCTACTCTGGAGGAATTACAGTTCTTGAAGCTTTGGCAGAAGTGGCTTCAGATCTACGCAACAACGAGTTGTTCGATTGTGGCAGGATCTGACGGATTTAGAGTTCAGACAATTCAGATCTCGTAAACGGTGAGCATAATTCGGAGAATTCGAAACCAGATCTGAAAAATTCCCACTCACGAAGCTCGGATCTACTCGCGAACTTGAGATTAATGCCTTTACTCCGTTCAGGAATAATGATAGGTGAAAGCTCCAATCCGATGGAGGCTGTCCAGCAAACAAAGCTTGAGGAGTTGATGAACTTGATTGAAGCTCTCAAAAAAGAGAATGCAGAATTGAAAGCTGGAATGCAACATCGGCAAATACCTGCGGTTTCGCATCCACTTCCGGTCGGTGAAGGAGGTGTTCAATCTAATATCGCGCGTCAAGGCGAGCAGGACGAGAACAATCAGTCAGCTCACCACCGTGATGAAAGGGTGATGGACAATTTGCCGCCAAATGTTCGTCGAGTTGAGGATCACGAAGGATCGACTCACGTTGATTCGCGACATGAGCAGATTAGACGGAATGAAGCCATAACCTTCGATCCGCATCGGGAAAGGTTCGACCGAGAGGAAGTGATAGAGGTTGATCGCCGTCGAGTAGCGTCGCCTTGGCAAAGAGAGTTCATAGAGGAACGGTCGTTCGATCCGTCTTACCGGCCCTCCATGGCTACTATCACTCATCGCGGTTCGGAGGGCAGAACCGTAACTCACAGAGCTACCGCTGGACTCCAGAGAGAGAATGAAGCTCTCCGATCCGCAGTTCGGACGGTTGATTCACCATTCACCGACGAGATCTTGAATGCCCCGCATCCAAGGAAGTTTGCTATGCCAGTCTTTATTCTGTTTGACGGAACAACCGATCCGATCGATCATGTGTACCATATCCAGTTGAAAATGGCCCTGAATACGGAAAACGACTCTTTAATGTGCAAATATTTCCCTACAAGCCTAGCCGGACCGGCGCTCAGCTGGTTCAAAAACTTGCCTAGGAGCTCCATTGGTAGCTTCAGAAACCTGTGCGATCGGTTCATAAGCCAGTACTATGGGAACAAGCGCCCGCCGAAGGACATCTCGAGCCTATTCACGATGAGGCAGCACAAAGATGAACGTCTCCAGGCTTTTCTTACCAGGTTTAATCTCACTAAGAGTATGGTGATCGAATGCCACCCTTCTACAGCAGTTTAAGCCTTCAAGTTAGCCATGACACGTGGAACTCCGTTTCACACCAGTCTGGTAGTGAACACGCCGACTACTATGGATGAACTCAATGAAAGAGCCGATGGCTTTGTGCGCCTAGAAGAAGAGGAGGCAGCTAATGCTCGGACAGCGTCGCTCGTGTCGACCGAGGAAAAGTCCAAGGCAAAGATCAGGCAGAAACAGGCTCAGCCGCAACGTCAGACCTCTTGGAAGGCAGAAAAAAGGTCCAGGGAGGAAGAGCTGATTACTCTGCTGAAGGTCACTCTGGCGAGGCTGTATCAGGAGAACAAAGATAAGTTTCATCCACCACTGCCAATTAGGCAACCCCTCGAACAGAGGGATCAAACTAAACATTGTGCTCTCCATTCCGATTTCGGTCATCAGACTAACGAATGCAGGAACCTGAGGAGGCAAGTGGAGATGTTGATAGCTAGAGGGGAGTTCGCGAGTTATGTTCAAGGCTCGGCGATGGAGCAGAATCGACCGGTGGAACAAATAAAAAGGAGTCATAAACAAAGCTCCCACAATTCACAACCAGTTCGTATAATCAATGCTATCCATGGTCGACCCGAGCCTAGTGAAGAGTCAGATGAGCTACTCCGGGCGCGCCTGCGGCAGGCGCAGATGAAGAAAAGGGTCAGCAGTGTGAATACTCTACACCAGCAGAGCCCGTCGATGCAGATAAAGTTCGACTGGACAGACCTGCAGCGTGTTCAACTGCCCCATGAAGACCCGTTGGTAGTCAGTTTGACAGTGGCAGACTGCTTGGTGCGCAGAGTTCTGATCGATCCTGGGAGCAGTGCGAATGTCATGCCGAGGGACACGTTTGATAGGCTCGAGATTAAACCAGAGAGGCTCAAGCCCACTGGAAATCCCTTGTTAGGGTTCGATGGGAAGAGGGTGGAGCCCGTCGGGATGGTGGAAGTAGAAGTTCAAGCTGCAGAACGAGCTCTTATGGAAACTTTTGTGGTTGTAGAAATTCACCCCTCGTATAATCTCCTGATGGGAAGAGGATGGATTCACAGAGTCCAAGGTGTACCCTCAACTCTGCATCAGGTCATGAGGTGCCTCGGACCCGATGGAGATAAAGTGATAGACATTCGGGGGGATCAGGTTGCAGCCAAAGAGTGTTATTCCGTCACACTAAAGTATGTTGGGAAAGGGAAGGCGCCCGTCCGTTCGGCAAGCCCCAGATAGCAATTACAGGAACCTCCGCCCGAGCAGAACAGGGTGGAGGAGTCAGTCGACTTGACCGAGGAGCCCCTTCTGGATGTGCAGATCGATCAGTCCAGGCCAGAACGAACTACCAGAGTAGGTATAAGACTGACCAGAGAAGAGCAGCAAGAGCTAGTGGATTTCTTGTCCCACAATGCCGACGTATTTGCATGGAGTCACCTAGACATGCCTGGAATTAGTCCCTCCGTATCCTGTCATTCCCTGAATGTCAATCCCAATTTCAAACCAGTGAAATAGAAGCAGCGAAGATTTGCTCCAGAACGCAATCAAATCATAGCGGAAGAAGTCGATAGGCTGCTTGATGCGGGATTTATCAGAGAAGTGCACTACCCTGATTGGTTGTCCAACGTCGTTGTCGTGCAGAAGAAGAATGGGAAATGGCGAGCATGCATTGATTTCACCAATTTGAACAAAGCCTGTCCGAAGGACAGCTTTCCGCTGCCTAAGATTGATCAAATGGTGGATGCCACCACCGGGTATGAGCGTTTAACCTTTCTGGACGCTTATTCAGGTTATAATCAGATCCCTATGGACCCCGCAGATGAAGAAAAAACTTCTTTTGTCACCGAGCGAGGAACATACTGCTACAAAGTTATGCCTTTCGGACTAAAGAATGCGGGAGCAACTTATCAAAGACTTGTTAGCAAAATTTTTAAGAATCAAATGGGAAAGATTGTGGAAGCCTATATTGATGATATGGTGGTAAAGAGTAGGAAGAAGGATGATCATCTGAAGCATCTGCAAGATGTATTTGATGTACTGAAGCGATATGGGATGAGGCTCAATCCAACCAAGTGCTCGTTCGGTGTGAGTTCCGGACAGTTTCTGGGACACGTGGTCAACCGCAGAGGCATCGAAGTTAGCCCCGCTCAAGCAGAAGCTTTGATTAAGAATGCCGAGCCAAAGACGATCAGAGAGGTGCAAGCCCTCATAGGACGAATAGCTGCATTAAGTCGATTTATTTCAAAATTGTCAGATCACTGCAAGCCGTTCTTTGACATGATTCGGAGCCATGGAAGGCAAGTCTGGGGGGATGAGTAACGACAAGCATTGACTCATTTGAAGGAATATATGCAGAATCCACCAGTCCTGTCAGCCCCAGATCCGGAAGAAAAGTTATTTCTATATCTTGGAGTATCTGGTGTCGCGACAAGTGCCGTTCTGATTCGTTGTAAGGAAGGGGTGCAATACCCGATATTTTATGTAAGCAAAACAATGACAGAGGCAGAACAAAGATACTCAAAGGCCGAACGGGTGGTACTTGCACTTGTAAATGCAAAAAGAA